ATTAAATATTTTTTTAATTTTTAAAAAACCCCCTTTGTCTTTCAGAAGGAATTTTTTGGAATAAAATTTTTGGGGGAAAAAGGGGGGAAAACCTTTTAAATTTTTAAATTTTTTCCAAAAATGATTTGTTTTTACCCAAACAATTTTACGTTTTAAAAAAAAAAAAATTCATTTATTTAAAAGATTTTTTAAAAAAAAAAACAAAAAGGCCTTTCAAAAGGGATTTTTAAAAAAAAATTCTTTTTAGAAAAGCTGTTTTTTGGGTTTCTTGGTAATGAAGAGCACAAAAATTTTAGGGGAAAATACAAGCATTTTTAGGGGAAATATGCCTATTTTTTTAGTTTTTAGGGGAAAACAGCCTTTATTGGGCTGTAAAAACAGTGAAAAAAATTCACTGATTCTAGTCCTGTGTTTAACAGAAAAAGAGAAAAGCATGTAATCTTAATTATTACTACTGTCAGTACAAAACAATTCAACACCATTTTGTATCCATCAGAAGATTGTTTAAAGAATATTAAATCACTATAAAACTTTACTAGAAAACATGTCACTTTGTCAGAATAATAATGGCATGCATCGCAAACAATTTTTATTTCCTGTGGAATCGACACAACCGTCAATAATTTAAATCTGTAAATGTTTCAGTCTTAACCTTGAATGACATAACCGGTCATTTAGTCACATTAAAACAGTAAAAGTGAAAGTCATAAGATAAAATACTTATTGAAAGCTTCAAAACGAAGTTATGTTAACACTACATGATAGGCTCAACTTACGTTCAGTAACCTCTGATTTAACGATAATTGTTTGTAAAGGTACATCCACCACGTGGTCAAGAATGGCATGCCGTCCGATTTCGTTGATACATTTTTCTAGTTTACCCTTTTTACACGTTAATACCATGTTGAAATTCCCTGCTATAACTGCTCTGTACAGGTGATCAAACATGTTGTACCATTTGTACACATCGTTCTCTTCGTAACGATATTTTCCAGCAAACTCGTCAATGATAACTAAGCAGATGTTTGTAAAGTCAATGTAATTGACATCGTTAGGCTTCTTGAGAAGTAAACATTGGGATGATTCATAAGCAGATGCCAACGCAACAGCTACAGAAGTTTTACCACATTTCTTAGGCCCTGTTAATACTACTGCTTTACCTGTCTTGAACTTCTCTTTCGCTGTCTTGAAAACATTCGCATCAACTTGACGGCTGAATACCTGATATTCGCTCAAAAAATTCTTCGTCATCACTTAAATTATAAAAAATAGCAAGCGTACCATTTTTCCGAAATACACCGTTTAAATGCTTTAGTTTCATCATGGGGAACAGTTTTTATGAAATACCTTAATTTAAGAAGAAAAAATGGTCAATACTCAAACGTACATTTTATCCTGAATTTCCGCCTTTGTTTTTGACCTAGGCTAAAGGGAACTAAAATTTACGGACAATTATATACCTTTCTTTTATTTTGGACAAGGGGTATTACCTGTGACCCTTAAGTGTGACATTGGACTATCAGTCCAACTTCGTGCCCAGTTCTAGAAGTATAAGATCCCTTCTTGTATGTTAAAGACTCCATTTGTTACATTCAATCATCTCTGGAGACATTGACTTGAATTATGCTTGTCATTTTCAGTCTCACTATTGTGAACATATGTGATAATTGTAATCCCTTAGCTCAAGTCTATAAATTCTGTTTACACACATTTTCTTTCTGATAAATTGTGACCTTGACCCAGAGACATACTTCATTCGCCAAAATCCATTTCATGATCAGGATCTATATCCTCTTTGTAAACTCTGTACATTTTATCATCTTGGTAACCTTGACTTTGCATATTGTGACCAAGATAATGTTGGCAATACCAAGTCTCATTTTTTGAACATTTGAAATCAGAGCTCTTAAAAGCTACACTGTAGTGCATACGCACATTTTTATATTTTTTATAAGACCTTTGACGTCAACTTACGGGACCTACATTTTACGCGTAATACTAAGCATAATAATGTGAACATTTGCGCAATATTATTTCTAAAATCTTCAAGACGTTTTGCTACATATGACCTCTAAATGTGACACTAACCTAGAGATCTATTTCATGCCCATGAACTACGTCATATCGTGGTGAATATTTGTATATTATTATACCTAAATCTCACCATGCATTTTAGAAGATAGATTTAATATTTAACTGTACACCAATCTCGCTCCCATGCAACAACAGCGAACCAATAATAAGACCCGTTCCATACAAAACGGTCTAAGTAAACAACAAAGCAACTTACCTTCTAAATTTCTGTATACTGACACCAAGGACTGTTGTACGTATAGATTTTGACTTCCACGACCTGCAATTATAAATGGTTCTTGTTTGTGAAAATTAAACAATTGAGAAATTATATAACAATTTTTTCACTTAAAATATTGACAGGAATTATTTCAAAAGTACATGTATGTTACATTTTATCGAACAGTTGCATAACAAAATAGTATACCTATTGTAAGATCAGCCGGCTGTGCTGAACTTGTCTTAGTAAACACCTTCACCACTTCTTCTAATAGATTTCATGGTCATGATGCAGTTTTGCACTCTTCCAAAATCTTAAGGTCTGTTACTATGACAATGTCAAAGGCTTTATCGCCATTATTTCTCTTTTGTTGAATGCATTATGCTTTTAAATATATCATCCATTGCTTTAGCTTTGCTTTCATCATAAGAAAATCCTCCAAATGGATCTCTACATAAAACCAAGTCTACATCTTTAGGATCAATGTGTCGCCAATCAGACGACGTGTGCATTGCTACGCTTCGTTTGTAATTATAGTCCATCCCCTTTACTGCTGCAAGAGCGGTCTCAAAGTAACGACTATTGTTGCATCCGGTTACAACCACGTAATGGCAATCTCTTAGTTTAGCTCGAATGTCTGTCATTTCACTTGGTGGTTTGAAATCATCTGATAATTCTTTCATCGTTGACTCAAACCCCGCTTAAAATAGAAAACGATTGTTTGCACACAATGCTCTCATGAAAACAAAAAATAAAAGTAGAAAATAAAACAACAAAAAACGTATCTTGTTTTTACTTTTATTTGATGAAAGAGATATTGTAATATATATATTCTGATGAGATTGATTATATCAGACCAGATAAGATTAGAATAGATATCAGTTTTGTGTGTATCAGATTAGAACAAAATACAAATGTTTCAGTTGAACGTTGAAAAGGAATGTAGATATTACTATGCTAGAGTTGTTTTTTAATAACGAACATACCTTGAAGCCGTGCCAGTATATCATCAGCAACTTTGATTCTTTTATCTTTGTCCCCTGAAGTTTAATGCATCAATTTCCATTAAACTGTAACATCAATTAAGTTTAAGAACAATTTCGAAAATAAGAAACAATCATAATAAAAATATAATGTTTAGAACTTTATGTAAACAAATTGATTGATATCCCTTTGAAATGTTTAAATAATTTCACGTAGCTAATCATATCAAATTTAAGTGTTGATTGCAATAAATAAGACTCAATACATAAACATAATATTATACAAATAAAATACATTGCAATATAAACTTTAAGTTGATGTGTGATTACTGAAACTTACCTGAAGGTCCTGGTTTTTGGACAGTCACTTGTCTGAGAATGGAAGTTGTTTCTTCGGCATTTGCCTGCACTTCATTCATAATGTTTAACAACTGCTTAGAAGTTTCTTCATGCCAAATACGTAAACAATCACCGAGATTTGGTAGATGATTACATTTTACCTGATTTATTTTCCCTAGTAAGGATGCTTGATCATTTGGATCAAGCGCATTCTTTGCTAAAAGCCTAACAGAAGAGTCCAATCGTTCCCAATAATCATCGAAGTCATCATCCGAAATATTGCCAGTATTTGGGTGATGCTGCAACTCATTACGAATCTCTCGAATTTCAACGCGAAGATTTCTAGTGGCGGCAAGCGTGTGGCAAAAAGTTCTGATATCAATGTTACCAGTATTGAGATGTCCCATTTGTTTTCATCAGCGGTGCCGTTACCAGGATACAATAAATCATACTGATCTCTCCTGAGCCTTTTGTTATTAAATAATTGCACCACATCCCGATTTCTGTGAGATATGTATGCATCGACTGATGTATAAGTGTTCCCTGCATCAGTTTTTGCAAGTTTGACAAAATATTTCCTTAATACGTCAGCACAAATATCTACCGCAAAGCAAACAAGTCTATAATATTTGTCTGCCATCTGTAAAATGAACAAGTAATAAGGAAACTCATTATTAATACATATAAATAGCATTATTTGTTTCTTTATTTTTGTAGAAAAAAATGTGTATGCATTATTTTAAGTTCAGTTTAACTAATACAAATGTTGATAAATAACAATTAAATAATGTGCAAAAGTAACTAATCAAAAGTATCAGTATACATCCATGTTTATAGTTCAATGTAGTTAAATTTTTGCCGCACATTTTATATAAAGAATAAATAGAACAACCATTATTATCTAAGGTAAAACCGGTTTTATTACAGTTAAAATAGACAAAAATAGTTAATTATAAATGTTAGCCGGGTCAAATTGCTGATATGATAGGGAGTCTAAAAAGAAAAGAATATGTTCTTAATTCATTGCCTTTATTCTTTCTACTTAAAACATGGCGGAGACTGCCTTTGCATAACAACATGTGGCATAATAACATTTAACTAATAGTTCACAACTAAAAATAACAATGTTTTAACTTTACTCATGTCTAGGGGTACATGCAAAGAGTATTAAAATATAAATCATTATTATGATAATACTGCAATGTAAAATGTTTGGAATGAATAATAATAACATGATTAACACACAACCTTGATTATTTATATATCTGATTGAAATAATAACATATCAAACTGATGATTACTAAACTGCTACTATAGATACTAAACTTGAGAGTTTACTATTATGCATAAAACAATAACAATCTAAATCATTGGCACAAATGATTATACTGACAATCAATTTATTTGGCACTTATAACTGTATATACTTAACAAAAGATGAAAGATAATAAATGAATTTTTATATGTTCGGTTAGACAAATAGCATATAAACAAAGTTCAAAACAATATTTTACATGTTCGACTTTATGTCGTTTATTTAGTAATGTTCAAAACAATATATTATATGTTCGACTTTATGTCGTTTAATCGCTCTTTCCAAATATGGCATAATACATGCTTTTCTAAGTAACTGTCTTACAAATATTAAACTGTATTCTACTTATAAAAAGTTCATTATTATCATGTAAAATGCGTATTAACAATAAACAGTAAAATATGATGATATAAAGATGAATCTCAAAATACGTATGTAAAACGTTCATTCGCGAAAACATATGACTCTAAACTTTAAACATGTTTGCAAGCAAAACAAGTCAATGTCATTGATAACAGTTACGATAAACGAAAAATACAATGAATAAACCTATCGAGGAAAGTCTTTTTCTTTCTCTAACTTGTAAATACTTACCTAAAAGAAAAGAATATGCTGTTAATTCATTGCCTTTATTCTTTCTAATTAAAACATGGCGGAGACTGCACCAAATTACCGCAAAGAATAACTAACGCAAAGAACGCTCAACATTTTTTTATAGGGGTGCCTTCATCAATCTCACATAAAGTTAACGAATACTTTCGCTGATATAACAGTAATGTCTTAATATTCATCTTATGCTAGGGTATCTTTTAATGATATTGTTCATGAGGAAATAAATAAAGTAATGTGAATAAATTTAATAAATATTTCAGACTAAATTTCTCCACACAGTACACTGTGACCAATCTCTATATAAATTTGTATTTTATTTAGCTTAAGGTCTTCAGCGTACCCGTTTATATATATGACATGACGTGAATAATGCCGCATCTGATGAAAAACAAAAATGTTAAAAAGCGGCTTATAAAGTTTTGGAAGCCAGAACTATATTTTATTATGCTATAAGATTTACCTCTTTCAATTTGTATTTCAAATATGTTTTAACGTTAACCTCTTTCAATATCTTTCTTGTTTTATACATAAGTTGTATGATACGTAACAGTGAAATTAAATGAACTATAGTCAAGTGAGTACAAGGAGTAATTTTCAAATAGATTTTATCTTTCACATTAAAATTATATCCTAACGGACGTCCTTCTATCTTTCGCTTCGTTGTATGAGTAACGGAGCGGAAATGATTTTAACAAGTCATAAACCAGAAAACCATTTTCACTATAAATAGAAACAGCTATGGAAATTTTACAGCTAAATATATCACACGATACACTTTTTTAAATAAACATATCTCAAATTAGTCAAATGAATTACGTGTAAGATAAAATTAACATGTAAGGTCATGGTATGTTAAATCTTATTTAAGATGAAAACAATGGTAGATATATTGATTTACATCTCATAAATCATTCCTATGCAAATTTAAACCTGAGACTGAAAATTTTATAATGATGAAACTCAGCTTACAACTGTGTGAAACAGTTTAATACAGCTAATTTTAACAAAAGACAAATCGGTAAACGTGTCTCAAAATTTGATGAATTTAGCAAAGAAACAAACATAAATTTAAAAGAAAATTAAGAAATAGAAGAAATAGTTTCTATTACATGTAGTAATCCCATGAGGTATATGATGAAACTGGTTTTACCTTTTTCTAACAATGAATTCCTTTTGTCATTTTTGCTTTACTGAAAAGGCATTACACTATTGCAATGATAAAAATTGTCTTACAAACGATCAGTCTTTTGAAAAGTGTATAAACTGTAAACCCATTGCAACAATTGTACATTTGTAGACTTCGAAAATTAAGATTTAGTAATTTATTTGCAAAATAATTTATAGTTCAGAAAATTCCTGCAGAAGTTGTTGCTTTAAAATATACTGTTTTACTGAGGAGCAACGCGTTAGTATAAAGCGATTCGAATTTTACACGAAAATAAAAAAAAATACTTTCCTATCAATGATGTAACCTGAGTGGTTGATTTAAGCCAGAAATCCATTTTGACTATAAATAGAAATAGATTTCGGAGTTTCACAGTAACAATTTCTTCTATTTAAGGTTTGTTTAATCAAAAGGGGGATGCTCGCTAGGCGCCCCCCCCCTTTATAGTTTCTAAGCAAAACCTTAATAACATTTTTTTTTAAAGAGTATTTCTATTAGTTTTTAAGAATTTAATATATGTATATTCTTCTGCTCGCTTCGCTCAAAAACTCAATATATATTTTATGTTTTAGGTTGAGTTATTTTACTCATGTTTCATTGTATATAAAGACAAAAGAGATGTGTCATATCAAGCATTAGCTCAGATGTCAGAAAATCAGTAACTTATAAATCAAATGACAATTTAATATAAATAAACAGACATAATTACTATCAAATAGCATTTTGAATTCCTTTGTTGCCTTTAATTTATGCTTGTACTAATATTTAAAATGTAAAATATACCGTGTTTTAAAATTAGATCTTTCTTCATTTTTCAGCCTACTACACAGATGTAAACCAAAATCATATAATGAACATAATCATGAAGTTAAACTTTGTTACAGTGACAGCTAAAATTAACATTTTGTCGATGTCGGGAGACGTCATACTGTTCTGCTGACAGTGGAAAGTAGGGGCACCTGTGACCTATCGACCTAGTTGTTATTTTTTATATTGATATTTCATAATCTTTATTTCAAAATTCTAAAGTTAAAGCTAAGGCAAATCCAAAATGTACGGAAGCCCATAAGTGCCATTTTGTCTTAGGAGTTTTGTCTTATGACTAATGACTTGTGTATTATGACTTTTGTCTTATGTATTATGACTTGACAAAAAAGCGACAAAAGGGCAAGTTTCATCATATGCACCCATCATGGACGTTGGAGGTAAATCTGATAGTGAAACAGAAGACAATTTGGTAAGTGTTGAAATTTAAAAAGTATGACAGTACTTTATTTCTCCTAACTTGAATAATTATCTCCCATACAAGGTGTTAGGTTTCGAATATGGGTAATCTCAGATGAAAAGTAGGTCACAGGGCACAACAATCGTGTTAACTGTTAAAGTTTAAGTATCAAGATATTTGCAAGACTGACACATTTTAAAACATGTTTGAAACATTTTTGTGTATAAAATATAAATTATTTCTCCTTCAGGTAAATGCGAGTAGTAAACAATGCGAGCAGTAAACGTATTCAGACACTAGTTCAGAACATAGCAGCCCACTAAGAAAAAGAAGACCAAGAAAACATTGAAAAAGATTAACTTATGGAGATCCATTGATGGTAAACATATTGGACATTCATCTTCTACCTGTGACTCTCTTTATAAAGGTAAATACAAGAAATCGGTTTATGATTTATCAGACAAGTGCCGAATGAGGATATTTTATCAAATTAATTCTTGATTGTTCAACAGTATATGTGAATATATGAAATACTGATACTGAGTGGAAGAAACATATTTATTTTTAATTTTAATTTAAAATATATAATTGTCAATTTCATATCACATAAGACATAATACAAAAGTCATTATACATAAGACATAATACAAAAGTCATTATACATAAGACATAATACAAAAGTCATTATACATAAGACTGTTAAGACATAATACAAAAGTCATTATACATAAGACATAATACAAAAGTCATTATACATAAGACATAATACATAAGACAAAAAAAATGAAAATAAAACCTGACAATTAAACATCAAATTTCTTGATAAATATGTATGCCTTGGTGTATTTTCATTAAATTACACTTAATATCCTTTTTTACAGAACTAGCTGGGTCCTGGGAGGCATTTCACAAATAAATTACAGGTTGGACGTCTTCATGAAATTCGTAGGAAATTTTGACAAGTGACAGCACGGACAGAGAGAAAGAGATGCAAGAATAAATTTGTAATGCCAAATGGAGATATATCAAATCAAATCTTCAAAGATACTTTAAATCGATAGGTGTGTTTCATCGCAGTACTATTTATATTTTAAAAATACCACAAAAAAAACGAGAGATTGAAGGACGAGTGCTCTAAAATCAGCGGCTCATAATAGCTTTCCTTGGCTTTAAAAAAAGTGTATTACTATTTTGTATTGATGACAAAGAAAGATAATTACAGACCTATGTTAAAACAAAATAAGTTGAATTTTTGTTTTATTATCATCGCGAAAACAGCCATATTGTATACATTGTATAACATTTTTGTAATACCAATGTGAC